GGAGGGGCCGGGAGGTGTCCGGGAGCCGCAGCGGTACCGGGAGAGGTACCGGAGCCCTGGAGGCTGTCCTGTCGGTGCCTCCGGGCGCTTTCCCCGCTGTCCTGGTTCCCTGGAACAGATTAAAATCCTTGCGGGAAGCCAAAGGGTTCGGTGTCCTGGCAGCGATCGCCAGCATCTCGTTTTGCTCTCATCTTGAGGAAGCAAATCTTAAAAGAGAGGAGTCAGAAATGAGCTCTGGGGCTGGCAGAGGTGTGCGGGGACTTTATGACCCCATAAGTTCCGTTAGACTGCCAGGAGCTGGGGTTTAATATTTGTTTTCCCCCCCACCATTCCCTGTGATCTGAATCCTTTATCCCATAAATACAAGTTCTGGTTTCTGTGCGGCACCTGCCAGTTCACAGCATTCTGGTGGCTGCTGGATTTAACGCTGTTGACGTTGATATTCTTCAGTAACTCCTTGTTTTTAAAGTTTTTTGTTGGTATCCTCATCTTTGTATGGTGGCCTTTCATATGCTCTGTTGTGCCATCAATAAAAAGCCATCACGTAACATCTGCTCACTTTTAAAAATAAGCTGTAACTTTATTTCTTTTAGACTTTTTTTTTTTCCCCTAGGGAGCATACTTAGAGCAACTCAGAAAACAAAACAAAAAAAAACCCACTGATGTTTTAAAAAACAGCTCTAATTAATGAGGTAGTGCTGCAAAATGTCAACATATTTGTTGTTTAATACAACATTTGTTTTATTAAAATAACATTGATTGGAAATAAAAGGAGCTTGTTAGTCTTGCCTGAGGTTCCTGTCTTTAGCATCAATGTGTTTGACAGTGAGTGTCAGTCATTTCTTCTACAGCATTGCTTTGGCTGGTGCAAAACTGTGTCTCTCTCTTTTTCAGTATTTCCTGGGTCAGTCAAAACACACTGCAACTTAACTCCTCCCTTTTCGGGGAAATGGAAACTAATCCTTCGCTTGAGTTTCACTTCAGCGACTCATCTGTATTATTAGAATATAAATAGGTAGATAAAGCTTTCCAACTAATACACTTTTAAAAAGAGTTTAATATTAAACTTTATTTTTTTAAATACACATTAGGACATTAAAATAACCTCCCTTTAAAAAAAAATCTGTGCAACATAGTATTCCAAACACTCGTGATTTCCTCTAAAAACACCCACTCTATACAAAATCAAGTTTAAATAGAGCAGAGGGACATGCTGCTGCACATCTCTGCGCCTTCCTGGAGTTTCCTGCAGGGACTGTGGGCAGCCTTAGCTGTGCAGGTAGGTCTGCGGGGAAGGCACACAGGTATTTTAGGCAGAGTCGCTGTCATACTTCAGAGGCAGGGCTTCCTTTCAAGTGTTTTGCATTGTTTCAGGGCATACTGTCAATTTTCTTTTGTATATGGCTGGAGTTCTGGTTTTGTTCAGGAGTTTTAATGCCTCTAGAACATTTTTATTATTAATTTAGAATGTGTTTATTCTTCAGGTGGGTTTTTTTTTTCCTTAGAGCAACTTCTGGATTGTGACAACTGTAAAAGCAAGGACCAGTTTTTCACTCCAGCGAGTGTTTTCACGCTTTGCCTTCCAAGGGAGGACGTTGTCCTTGAGACTCAGGGCCACTGGGTTATTGTTCAGCATCTTTAAGGAGGAGTTCTTCCTTCAGTGATGAATGTGGGACTCTGACCAACAGTGCCTGGAAAAATGTTTGAAGGCAGTGAGAATGAATACAGAAATAAACAGGAAATCTTCTGCTCTCCATTTATGCATTTACAAGCTGCAGAAGGCATGAATCAGTATTCAGAACTAGTTCCTACTTCTGCTTATATTACACTAATTCTCATTCTTCTCCCCTCAGCCTAGATGGTATACTTTATGGCTGAAGCTGCTAATGTTTTTATTCAATACTGAGGTTAGAGTTTTTTATTATTATTTTCCCTATGCACTTTCAAAACCAACTTAAAATTCTGCTTTTATCTCTGCATTCCACTTGTGTCTCTGCAAATACTCCATATTCGGGGTCTGAAATTCCTGCAGGTGTATCTTCTCCCCTCTTTTGCATTTTGGTGCTTTTAGCTTCTGTGAGCAATCATTGAAAATCTCGAGGTTTGTGCTCATTTTAAAACCTCCACTGTAGCTCATGGGGTTCAGATTCTCAAAGCCGTGTTTTAATCACAAGCCCTGTAGTTCTGCCTTCTCCGAACTCTTCATCCACAAAAGGTTTCGATCGCTCTTCTAGGATTTTGTTGTCTCTTTCTTTGTGTTGCCCTCTCTGCTTTCCTCGTGCTCTTTGCACAGCGATGCACGTTCTGACCGATGCGGTGCAGGTTTGGAGGGAGAAACCCACTTGAACTGTCGGTGTTGGGAGAAATAAGGGGTTTGGTTTGTACATGCAAGTTTCAGTCTTGCAGTTTAGTTTGTTTTTCTAGCCTGGAAAGAAAGGGAAGTTTGGTTTTGTGTGGCTTAAGCAGAAGTTTATAGAAACCCAGGAACTTGGAGGGAGGGCTGACTTTTGCTCCCTTTGCTTCCCCATCTTGTCCTCTCTAACGCCTTTCTCCTGGGGGTGTTTTGTTTCTAGACAAGCCTTGCAGCACCGTGGCATCGCATCTGCCTCTACGCTTACTCTCCACAAACCAGTTCTGTTTCAAAATGGGAGCCAGTCTGCTGTTAGTCCGTCCCAGCTGACTGTGTTAAAGGATGTTCTTTTAGAACCCCAAGTGTAAAGAATATCTGGAAATTGATTGTTCTGTAACTGGGAACAAAATTTTCATTAATTCTACGTGTATCAGAATTTCATCCTTAGAGTTCAGAAGTTACAGTTAAAGCATCGAAGAATTTCAAAGTGCTGAATCCCAGTCTCTGCTTACATCTTGAACAGAAGAATAACATTGATCTCTTCTGGCTGAACGTATTTCTTCGTCTTGTATTCACAGCCACTTACTTTTTTCCCAGTGTTAGCTGTGTAGCAGAGCTTTTCACAGCTGCGTGCGTGCTGCAGTCTGGGTAGATTCCGGGGATGGACACCAGCGCTTGGATCCCTAATGCTGCGTGGGCCATGGGCTGTGGGAAGTTCTGCCGCCTGTTTTGGTCTGTGTTGTCATGGCTAAAATGGAAATGTGTTGCAATGTATTTTTTAAATGTAATTTTAAAAATTCTGCATAGAGGACTTCCCTCTATGGATAAAGGTTGGATCTCCCAAATGCTGTGCATGCTTCATAAATTTTAAGCATTAACAATCAACAATGGATGACCGTTACAAGAAGGTGTTACCAAATCTCATCTAGGTCTTGCCTTGATTAACAAACCAGTGGTCAGTGTCACTAGAAAGTGATTTTGGTTTTTTTTTTTTATTTATTATTTCTCTCTGTAGATTAGATTAAGAAGTATCAAATGAAGTTAAAAAAATAACTTGGGAGAGCATTTCCTTTTTCTTTCTGTCTGAATGCTCCATTGGGAATGAACCTGACACCCAGTTGCCGGGTGGATGGGGCACCACAGGTTTTTCTCTAGAGCAATTTGAATTATGAGTAAAATGAAGTGAATTCAGCTGTAACTAGGTCAATCTGTCACTTGGCAACTGATAGGGATCATGTGAGTGGCTGCTGTGGGTATTCTCATTTTGTGTATTTTTTTTTAATTTTATTGGTGAAGTTTGGTTTCAAAATGTTTCCAACTAAATGCCTTTTATTTGTAGGAGCCAAGATCAAATTCATCACCGCTGTCTCACAGGAGTTTTCAGGTAGGCTTGACATAAAGTTTGCTTTCTTGGAGAGATGAACAGTGATGATGATTTGAACAGAAGTCAAACAAACATCTGCTGTGACCACGTGGCTCTCTTATTGTCCACTGTCTAGATCAGCACGATGCCAAGTCAGCAAGGCTGCTCTTGAGATGAAGAAAACTTTTATTTTAATAATGTCTGCAGGAGATGAGAATCCTGAATTTAAGGGATATTTCTGCATCTTGAATTCTACAGTTTTAAATGTCTGATCTCTATATTGACCGGGGTATACAGTGACTCAGAGAGAGACTTGAGAGAGAGTTGTCTTGCTTTCCTTCTTGTTAGGGAAGAAAATTAATTTGACTATTTGGGATTTCCAGCTACTTCTGACCATTCTGTAGGAAAACCCAGCTGGGATGGAGGATAAAGCATGAAGACCTTGATTAATCAGACTAGAAAGAAAAAGAAATGTTTTAGTTAAAGCAGATGCTGTGAACTTCTCTTGGTCCAAGCAACTGCAGTAACAAACTGGCTGGTTTTTGGGGGGCTGGCAGTACAGAGCGGAGGGCACAGGAGAGCGACAGGCAGGGGATTTTTTTTTTTTTTTTTCAGGATAAAACTTTATTCTAGATCCCTGATGTGTGTCTCTTCTCTAGTTCTCAGGAGGGCGCAACTGGAATGCAGCGAAAGACTTGCAGAGATACAGACGACATTACCCGGTATGGGCGAAATGACGGTGCAGATACTCCTGTGGCTCTTCCTCAACACTTCCTAGATTTGAGAGGACCCTTTTGTCTTTACATCGACGGGCTCAGAACTGTTAAAGGATTCATTTGGGAGGGGGAAGGGATGATGGTGTGGGTGCATCAGAAACAAGCTGTTGCTTCCCAAAACGCGTTTTTTAGGATTTGTCTTGAAATGTTTAGGAAACATGAGGGAAAGCAAGGAGAAGTGATGAAGTGAATACTGCCTTTTAAAACCTTGCTGTTTGTTGATATCTTGATCTCCAGGGTTTGATAGAATCAGAAAATGAGGAGGAAGAAGAGATGTGGAACTTAAGCTTTTATAAAAATGAGATTTGTTTCTTGCCCCAGGGTGAGTACCTTGTGTGATGACTGTTTGATACAACTTGGCTGCAGCTGTTTTAATTGGTGAAAGAATCACTTGATCCATGTGGGACAATTATTTAAAAAAAAAAAAAAAAAAAAACAAAAACAAAACCCCAAACAAAAAAAAAAAAACACCAAGAATTTCTGTTTTAAAATGTCCTTGTTCCTGCTGTATGTTCCTCAATTTTCTGTTTGGTGGTAGAAAGCTACAGGTTTTTTTCTGGCTTACCAGGATGTTTGTCTAGTTAGAGAAGCTAATGCCTGTATGTGAACTCCTGGCTCTGGATAATGAGCCACCTTGGGCGACTGGTTAACTTTAATTGTTATTTGGTGTCATTCCTTCTTGCCTGATTTTTTTTTTCCTTTTCAGGTTTGCATATTGAAGATCTGCTTGAATCTTGGTGGGACAACTATGAAATTCTGGAAGAAAACCATTCTTACATACAGTGGTAAGCTGTCTGCATTACCATAGTGCTTCTCTTTAGCTGTGCCTCTTCTAAGAGTCCGTTGCATCCGTGCTCCTGCATTCAGCTTCCCAAAAGGCTCAGAATCACTCCTGAGTGAAACTTGCGTCTACTTTATTTTTATTAAGTTATATTGTTCTGGAAACAATGCAGGGGAAATCCTGAACACACGGGTTTCCAGTGCAGCGGTGGCAATAGATGTCAGTCCTCCTTGTTCGTACAGCGCACTGCAGAACAGAGCGTTAGGGCAGGGAGAGATCCAGATAAGCAAAGCGTGTTATCACTGATGCAGACACTGCTGTTGTGGGAGGGATGTGTCAGGCACATCGTAAACTCCTGCTATGTCCATGAGGTGAGCTCTTTAAGAGATGCCCATAGTATCACAATTGTTGGAATCTTTTTTTAGTTTTAACGAAATGAGTACCCTGGGTTGGATGTCATCTTTGCTCATCTGGGCTGAAAATTTCTTTCCCTTCAGGCTGTTCCCTTTACGCGAACGTGGGATGAACTGGCGTGCCAAACCACTCACCTGTCAAGAAATCCAGGTATTTAAAGCTTTTTTTTTTTGAGATCTGAAGGATGATAGGATTTTCCCTAAATGCCTTATTTTTGAAGTTGAGGTTTTTTAAAATTACTTCGTTGAGGCCGCAGAGTGAACGGAGCTCACTCAAGCCCTGTTGGGCATTGGTGTGTCTTCTGTCTGCCGGCAGCCGCAGCAGCAGATGAAACGCTTGGTGAGATAATCCAGGTGCCACTGCCACTGGTGCAGGTCATTAGGGAGTTCCACCTTGTTCTTACTGGTCCGTCTGGTTTTCAGGCCTTTAAGAAGTCCAAGGAAGTTATGCAAAGGTTTATACGTGCTTATCAGCTCATGCTGAGATTTTATGGGATCATTCTGATCAACGAGGAGACTGGGGAGCTGAAGAGAGCAGAGAACTGGGCTGAGCGATTTCAGAACTTGAACTGGTGAGTCTCTGCTTACGCTGCTGCTCATTTCCTACAGCCAGACACTTGGAGAAATAAAAAAGAGTCCAAGTCAAGAAAATCCTCAGCCCTTGAGGAGCGGAGGCTTTTGTTGATAAGAAGGTTAGCTAGATAAAGTGCTTTTAGTTTGGCTCAGCCTCTGACTGTGGGTCATCACACTCTGTCACTTTAATAAGTGACAAGTATAATAGTGAGCCAGCTGAGATTGGTTTTCTTTTGTATCTGGTACAGCTGTTAACAGCAGGCATTCTTCATGTTGGTCTCCTAAAGTATGAAATGTAGACTTGGAGATGTTATTTGCTCTAGCAGAGCTTGTGTTTAAAGACATATTTTAAGCTGGGATCACTGAAACATCTTCACAAGTAGCCAAATTCCCTTGTAGCATACTGTTAAACTACAAATAGGAGTGTTTCCATATGCTTCCCTGATTCTTGAATCCTTTGTCAAAAAGTGCTTGCAGATTGATGTTAATGTTTTTTATATTACTGCAGGTCTTATCATAGAGATAGTAATGACCCTTCATATTCTAGAACCCTTAATGAGATCAACAAGGGATCCTAAAGGGACTGGGTGGACTCACAAAAGAAAAAAAACCAACTTAAGACTGTCAAGTTAAAAAAAAAAAAAAAAACTACCAAAAAAATCCCTCTGTCAAGCTTAAATCCCAAGTCATGAATTTCTGGCAGCATCCTTCCATGCCTGTGTTCTTACACTTTTCTCCAGACTTACCCTGCAGGGTCGCTGCCAGGGACAGGGTGTTGGGCTGCATGGACCTGTGTGTCTGACCCAGTGGGGCGGCTGTTCTCTACTGGGGGGTGATGCAGAAAGCTACAACTTTTCCAGGCAGCTGAGATGATTAATCCAAGCAGTCCAAGAAGGGCTAGGAAGGTGCTGCTAAAGGCAGACAGCAGCAGTAGGTTCTTTAAAGCCCACCTGTACTCCCATGTGGATTGTCAAATAGCCTTTAACAAATCACAGTCAATATGCACAAAACATTCTGCAGGTACCCTGGGGGTTTGTTGGGACTTCAAGCTTGTAAGACACACTTAACAACTTCACTGGTCTGTTTATTTCAGGTACAGTCACAACAATTTGCGGATTACACGCATCCTGAAGTGCCTGGGGGAGATGGGATATGAACACTATCAAGTGCACTTGGTCAAGTTTTTCCTAACGGAAACTCTGGTGAAGGAGACGTTACCAAATGTCAAGAGAAGTGCCTTGGATTACTTCCTGTTCACCATCAGAAGCAAACAGAAGAGAAGAGAACTGGTCCACTATGCTTGGCAACACTTCAAACCTCGAGGCGGCTTCGTATGGGGACCACAGGACAAACTCTTGAAGTACAAACCCTGCTCTGCCACGTCGCAGCTGCACCAAAAGGCTGAAGATAAAGAGGAAACTCCTGGTACAAAATGTGATGGTTCTGTGGAAAAGGAGCAGAACCAGTCTGTAGAGGAGGAAGAGAAAGGTGGAGGTGCTGCAGACCTCCAGCCTAAAGTGAATGATGAAAATGTAAAAGAGAAGTTAAGTGACGGCGTTTCGAAGGGAGGGGACGGGGATGGCGTTTCAAAGGGAGGGGACGGGGATGGCGTTTCGAAGGGAGGGGACGGGGATGGCGTTTCGAAGGGAGGGGATGATGAAGAGGAGAAAGAGGTTTCATCTACCCATCAGGAGAAGGATGTAAACAGTGAGACTGAAGAAGCGCAGGGTACGGCAGAGAATGATTGCACAAAGGAGAGCAAGAAGAGAAAACTGGATGCAAATATGGCAGATGCTAAGAAGAGTGGACCATTGAAAAGCCCTACTGATATTGAAAACATTTCCCGTAATCTGGGAGAATGTGCAATTGATGCAGAAATCCCCTCGTCGGTTCCGCTCTTAAAACCAGAAGAGGACCAGGAAACATCAAAAGAAGACGATGCAAGCACCAAAGACTCAGCAGTGCCAGAGACTGCTGATGCAGCTGTAAAACGGAGGAAAGTTGATAAAAGAACATCGAGAAGCAAAACATACAACTTGGCCATAAACCTGAACATGGGGCACTCTGCCTCTAGCGCTAAGGTAAATTCATCCGCTGCAAACACTGAGGCTGAAAATGTCAGTGAGAAAAACGCAGCTGTGGAAATGCCAAGTGAGAAGGGTGGTGGGGATGTGAACGGTGGGGCTGTGAGACCCCCGGGTGGTTCCAGGCTCCCTGAGACTCGCTGGACTTCTCCAGTAAGTGATGGCTTGGAGTCAAGTGGAGATCAAGTGACAGCCAAGAGGGATCAGCACCACTGCAACAGCATGCCTCTGGGAGGTGAAAGGGAGGTAGAGGGGGTAGAACAGCGTAAAAAGGCAGAAAATGCAAGTGAGGAAGGGCAAGCAGAAGTCCCAGGCAAGAAGGAAGTTCCAGAGAGTCTTGAGCAGAGCACGGCATCCACTCGTCCTGAAGAAGACAGCGCTGAGGTTGCAACACCAAAACCTGAAAGCTCGGAGCCGGCAGCAGAACCTGGTGACATGCAGGTAGCAGCAGAGTGAGAGCACGGCAAGCACCCGAGCAAGCGGAGCTGGCACTGCCCGAACTGCCCGGAGCCAGCTTTAGGGCTTTGGATTGCAGAAGTACACGGAAGAACAAACTCCCTTTGGGCTGATCCAGGCTAGCCCCTGTCTGACTTTCACCCTTCCACCCTTTTTTAATCATCTGTAGTAACTCCACTGAGATCCAACCCTTAGTTACCCTGAAAACTCTTCATGGACAGGCTGTGTCCTGGTCCTTTTTTATCTGATGTTCTGGACTATCCTGGAGTAACAGGGATTTTTGCACTTTGCTTTGGTTCTGGTGTGTCCCTTAAAGGAAGAGGAAAACGAATCTGTTTCCTTGTTTGAACTAGTCGGGTATTTATTAAACACATGATTTCCAGTGTAAGACAGTATGAATTAATTTGCCAGGCCTTTCTATCACTATGTAACTTCTGTTTTTTGTTTGGAAAGGCTGTACCTTCCCAGGAGATTTATTCCTGGCAGAGGTGCTGTGTGGCTGCTTCCGAGGGCATAAATCATTATTTTTGTGGCATTTGCCCAAAAGAGATGAGTCTGTGCATTTCACATTGTGTAAGAGTGTAGTTGCCTCTCCTCCTCTATAGAAGGTAGGTTTGACTTTAAACTGGGATAACATGTATACTCAGAAGGTATCTCTGACCTTCATGTACAGATACTGTTCTCTAGGGTGCACAGTGCTGAGTAATTTGTTCTTTTATCCCCAGCAGAAGTTGCTTTGCAGTGCTGCTTAGAATTGAGAATATGACTTGTCTGCTAGTTTCGAAGAGGAAAAGCCTTCAGCCTTTGCATAAAGCTGTCTGGAGCTGCTCTTCCCTGGGTTTTTCCACCACCTTCAGAGCCTTGATAAGTCTTCCACAGATATTTATGTCCACTACTGGTTCAAAAGCCTTCCTTCCTCGATTGCCAAAATAGAACAAATACTTGTCATTGCATCTTTTCAGACTTTGCCATTAATCTGCAGTGGCCCCTGGGCTCTCTTTTCTGCAGGCACATTGCATGAAGTCAAACGTGTCAGGATTGACCCACTTGTACCATGAATGAGCAGCGCATCAGACAGCGGGAGCACGCGGGAGTGCAGCATGTCTGGAACCCCTGGGCTTTGTGGGGCAGTTCATTGAAACCGTAATTGGAGGGGGTACGCTTGTCTGGTTCATTTATTTACATCCCTCAAGAATTTACTTTCAGACCTTGCCAGCTATTTGCCTGCCTCCATGTTCCTGACCCCCCCTTAGTGATTCTGCCTGACTCACAAACTGTTCGAGGCTGAAAGAGCACTAAACAATTTGGCACTTTGACTCCTAGAGATGCACAACAGAGGATCTGTTCCGTGAAGCAGAGGAAACCATTTCCAACAGCCAGAAGGTCTGGGACGTGCTGTTTGCTCAGATTGTTTGTTCAGTTTGGGGGTTTTCTGGTGCTGTTTGGTTTGTGTAGGGGATGGCTAGAGGCTTGCCTGCCCTGACAGAGAGCAGATGCGGTTTCCTGTGCAATGGTAATGGTTTTCCTCTCTCTGCTACAGCTCTGAAGAAGCTTCGTCTTTCAAGGAATTGGGTTGGTGACTTGCTTTCCCAGACTGTAGGTCCTTATCCAGCACACCTCGTACGTGTGTGCGGGAATAAAAGTCAGCAAGCTTAACATCTGATGTTCGTGGTCACACACATTGCTGGAGAAATGCTTTAATGTTTTTAAAATACTTTTTCTTTTTTCTTATGGACAGAGTTAAATAGCCAGTAAGAATACACTTAACTACAGATATAAATACTTGAAGATGCCAAGTGAAAATTCTTTCATAAAAGATTGATAAGAAATTGTTAATTGTGGCTTTTGTACAGATTTATAGTAATTTTCTTATTTAATGAAGTTTTCATTGTGAATTTGTGCTCAGTTGGGGCATAGATCATAAATCTTGCTACGGTGATGTGTGGTTTGTTTTTGTGTGTTTATTGAGATATCACTGTGAGCCCTAGTCTGGAGTGCTCAAACCAACCCTTCCCTATCACGATCAGGTTTGGAGTTTTGGCTGTAGGTGTTTGCAGTGAGTTCACAGGATGTTGCCCACCTATTAAAGCATGACTTTAATGCATACCAGTTTCCACTAATTTTTTTTTCAGTCTTTGAGGGCAGGATGTGACCATACATCTGTCCACCACACCCACCCTGTAGCTATCTGCTATTGCTTGGGCACCTCCAGGAGCGGGTGGACGGGGCTGCCTGATGTTCCCAAGCAGAGGTCTGGGGGGCTCACCTTGAGATAAACCTGCTGCTTGCTCCACGTGGAGATGATGCTCAGTCTTCCTCCCCCTCAGCAAAATGCAGCCAGTGATTTGTCTGTTGGGAAAAGACACCCCCCAACATGCTTCTTGCTTAATGGTGTGCTCTGAAGTGTTCCAGTAGGACCGGTCCCCCTCCTGGTTGTGGGGTGGGCTGGAAGGTGAACCCTCCCAGGGCTCTTCTCTTGCTGTTCCCCCGCAGGCTCAGCGTGCAGCCGCCCTCCCAGCCCTGGCTTGCTACGAGCAATGTGTAGCCAAGAAATTTGGATCTCCTTTGCCTTCTCTCTCGCCATCAGTTGGCCTCGGTGCGAAGCAGGAGGTACAGGCTCGGTGCGAAGCAGATCGTGCGCCCGTGCTGCTCTCCCTCTGCGGGGCTGGTGGCTATTAAAGCATTCCATTCCTTTGAAGCCATCTAAAGCCATTACAGTCCCCAGCTGCCTGTTCCACAAAAGCTTGTAGGAACTTAGTAAATCTTTGAGCCCGTTATCGCTCGGGCAAGGTTGGTGGAACGTTGGCAGCTGGGGAGCTGGCCAGGCACACGCTGTGTGCTCGAATAAACCTCCTGCCCTAAGGATGCCAGCCTGAAACCTGGTATTTTCAGGTATTTTCATTTCTTAAGCTTTGTTTTTTGCACTTCTGCTCTCTTGCTACCCAAATGAGCTCTATCATTTCAGTCCTAATGAATCTTTCCTCTGTTCCTCTCTGCTTCCAAGCCCTGCTTTGGATGGAATCGATAAAGGGAAGCATGAAGCTGTTTGCAGGAGGTACATCTTTGTGAATGTATTGCTGTTTGCCATCACCTAGCTGGGAACTGTCATCCTGTTCCTTCCTTGCAAATATTTCCAAGGCAGTTCTTCCTTGGTTTTGTTTTTGTTTTTGTTTTTTTTGTTTGTTTGTTTTTGTGCCTCTGAGAATGTTTCTCCTTTTTTTCTTCCTCCTTTTATCTGTCAGTGATCATCTCTTCTCTGGTCAGGATTCATCACTGTCTCAGGAAATCAGCTGGCATTCTTTAAGTTTCCCTAAAAAAATTGAAAATAAAAAATAAATAAAAAAGCAAAACAAAACAAAAAACAACCAAGATGTGAATATACCGCCAGAGCTAATAAACCATCCTGCAGAGCAGTCAGTGCGTTTCTCTCTAGTGCATCTTGCACTCATTACAGGTATATTAAATTCTCCAGTGAAGTTAGGAAGCCTCAGGCACGGAGTAACTCTCGCTCTGTGTTGCTTTTTATCTGCCCAGCGCTGAGGCGGTGATGGGCTTTGAGAAATGGTCCAGGTGAGACCTAAGAACATCTTTGTACCTCCAGCTGGAGCAGCTGAGTTTTGCTCCTGGGGTCTGTCAGCAGGTCCAGCCCTTCCCTGGGCTCCCTGGCCATTCCCCGGGCTCCGTGCCTGGTTGTGGGACATGAATGAGAGCTTCTCCTCCCGACCAACTGCTGCTCCCCCTCCTCCTCCCACCTCCTTCCCCAACCTCCTCTCTCCTCCCAGCTCAGCCCCTCGTGCCTGTGCCCCCAGCTCAGCCCCTCCGGCTGGAGCCACCGGTTTATCTGGAGGCGAGGAGCCTCTCCCGTGTAAACTGAGACCCGGGAGGAGGAGGAGGGATCTGCTGGACCCTGGAGGAGAAGCCGTTTAGCTGCCCGGGAGGAAGGAGAGGCAGATCCTGGGCACCATGGCTGGGTTCTCTGCTCTTGGGCTTTTCTTCCTCTGTCAGCTGTTAGCCGCAGCATCAGCGCAGGTAAGAAGCCTCATTTATCTCTTATGCCCAAGAAAAAAAGTCTATAAGGGGAAAAAGATGATAGTGATCTGTGTGTGTGATAGCTGCAGGGTGAAATGTGGCAATAGGTTATGAGAGTCTAAAGTTCATTAAAAACGTGTGTGTTGCTTGTGCTGCTGTACAGAGTGTCCAGAAAGCACATCTGGGTTGTGCCTGTGTGGGGAGGCTTTCAGATCGTGTCCTGCTGCTTTGTGCTTTCTGTAAGAGTATTGTCTTCCCATTCAGGAGTGCAGTTGGGAGTGATAAAGCCTTGGGAAAGGGGAGACCTGTTGATAAGAGAGAGTTTTCTTTTACAGTAAATTAATAGGTTATGCCAATGAGACTGATCTGATCTGGGTCTTCATCTGAATCAGAATTTCTCCTTCCCTCAATCAGTTTTCAAATTTTACATTTATAGCATATTTAACCCTTGTTCACCTCAGACTTGAAATTATATTAAACTTCCCTGTATGTGTTAATATTGTTGCCTGGGGAAGGAACTCCTCGGTGAGGGAGGAATTTTTGCAGTCTGCCTTGGGAATTCAGAGCTGCCCTCGTCTGCTGCGAGCGGAGCTGCTTCTACAATGGAACCTTTGTTTGCTAAAGCTACTGCAAGTTGCTCTCCGGAGCCCTCTCCATACAGAAGTCATTTATGGGACCTTTCTTTCCTTCCCCCCACCTCAGACCTCCTCCAAAATCTCCAATTTTCAAACAGCATCCCACTCAGAGAGGAGGTTTTCCCTTTCTCCTTCTCTAACGGTGGCTGCCTGGCTCTTCCATCACCTGTCAGGCTGGGACTATGAATTCATTTTTAATGCCAAGTACGTGGCACCTATTTTCCGCGGGCTTTGCATTTCCTCCTCTGCCCAAGATGAAATGTGCCTGTAGGCAGGGAGAAACCCTTCCTACCAACCCTGTTTGCTGCCCAGCGACCAGCTCTGGTTCCCAGCGTAAGCCAGCAGTTAACCGAGCTGAGGATGTGCTGAGTCCAAAGGGTTTTCTGAAGAGCCGGGCACCAGTCCTGGGCTCCTGAGCCCACCCAGGATGCTGGGGACCTGAGGGATGGAGAATTAATGCAGGTTTAGGGTTGAGCTGTGGGACTTGGCCATTGCTTTCTGATTTAGCCCATGTGTTACTTCTGATGCAAAAAATAAACTCCTCTCTCTCTCTCTCTCTCTCTCTCCCAATTCTTTCAGAGAATAGGACCACAAGGCCCTCCTGGACCACCAGGACCCCCTGGACCATCTGGCAAGGACGGCATAGATGTGAGTGCCTGCGGCAGCGGGCAGGCGCAGCCCAGGGCGGGCGAGGGGGGAGCAGGGGCAGAGCAATGGAGCAGAGAAGCTGCTCTTGTTCTCCAGAGCCCCTCGGGCCATCCTGCAGAGGTGGATGGACCTGGAGAACCACCTGCTCTCAAGAGACCTCTTTCTGCAAGGGTCAGAACAGTGAATGGAGGTGCTGGGTGGGCTCAGCATCAATCCCCTGTCTCAGGAGAGAGTTTGGGGCAGAGCTAGGGACTTGTGACCCTCCTTGGAAAGCAGAATATTTCTCTTTTGGTGTCTAGGGAGGAGGGGGAACACAATATGGGTGGGTGCATGGATACGATGTGCGTCAGAGTCATTGGATGCTCTGTATTCAGAGAGAGATTTATGTGACCCTCCAGAGCATCTGTGGCGAGAGAGGCCCCAAGAAACTCCAATATGCAGCACTGGGCACCGCCCTTCCTCATACTGGGTTTATTTCAGCATTGAAATGACTATCCCCAACTGACACTGGCATGTGAGAGGTCAGAACGTGGCTCGTGTGTTGCCAGACACGAGTTGCCTTTAGTGGCACCAAAGGCAAAGGAAATGGACAGCCTGTGTTCCATCGGGCAGCTCCTTGTACGTACACCTCCTGCAGAGGCAGACTGTGTACCACAGGAATTACTGGTGGAGAAAAACTTCTCCTATTACTTTTAATTGATGTTTCCATAGAAATGAAAAATTTTGCTTCAGTGCATCCGTTGGATAAGGACTGAATTGTGTCCTGCAGTTGGCAGTGGATAAAAAGAGCATCGATGGACCTTCAACAAGACCACATCAAATGCAAAAGGCCGGATTCCTGCTTCAGTACTCAGTTTGAGCAGTGCTTGTCTCTCTGAGCTGCTTATGGAATGGGGCAGGGTTTTTTAAAGCTCGTCTGAATTACATTTACTGGAATTGGGCCTTTAAGCAAATTTGAAAAAATCTATTCATTCCATGTGGGTCACTTTCTTTTGGATAAGAAGGTAAAAAAAAGATATATGAGTTCCCTGGTGTAGGGTGAACAAGGAGCGTTTTTGTCTGCAGTGGTGAGCTTTCCCAGCGGCCCTGAGCAGGGCTGGGCTGGAGAGAGAACCCCATTGATCTGCGGCTGGTCCCTCTGCGGTGTCCTTTGGACTGATGGAGACGTCTGACTGAAAATCCCACTCCGGTTTTGTAGCATGAAAGGTTCAGAGCTGGTACCTCGATGGTTCCTCTGCTGTTTTTCATGTTACGATAAAAAGCTGAAGGGGACACACTGGAAGAGGGCAAAGGACATTATTTGTGTTGGCAGCAGTGAGCCTGTGGAGTCACGACGGCAGGACATCCGTGTGCCCAGCCGGCTTCGGGCAAGGGCGGCTGCCTTTCTGTACAGAGGGGAAAAGAAGAGTTTGGGAGGAATGAACCCCTTCAAGTTGTAACCGAACTTGTGCATATAGGCAATCGGAAAGAAACAAACCCCTGTAATTGTGTCGTTCGGTTCCTGCTTTCTACAGGGTGTTTTACACCTGAGCTCTGGAACAGCACCAGCATCACTTCTGATCATTATTGGGACCAGGAGCCAGGGGAGATGCCGGTCACATGAACCCGCACCCCTTATCCACCGCTAAAAGCTTCGGAAGACTCCCTGTGGGAAGGGCCAAATAACATCTAATTAATATGAAGAACTTAATCCTAATCAATCAAATGGCCAAGTAAAGTATTTAAGGTGCTCAGTCTTGCAGTCCTAGCTTGAGTCTGGAGTGTTGGCTACCCAGGAACAGTTTCTCATTTGAACAGACTTGACGTCCCTCCTCTGGATATAGGTTGTGGGGTGCCCGGTTCCTGTGCAATTATTTTATTTCTTTTCCTTAGTGTTGAGATTTTTTTTAAAGCACAATCAGAATTTTTCTGGACTGTATCTCTGCAAACCCCTCCAGCTGGATCATCTTCACAGATGGCTGTGGATGCACGCAGTGTGGGGAGAGTCGCTGAACAGTCTTGGAGCTGGATGAGTGCTGCCGAGGTGATCAGCGGTCCTTTACCGTCGGCCAGGAGCAGTGAGCGATGATAACATCCAGCTGAATTATTCACAATAGCTCCGAACAAACCTTGGATGAACCCCATAAGCACAATTTCTAGAAGCTCCTGCTTTCATTCCTGCCTTTCAGTGGGAGCTGCAACACCAAGTCCCTCGGAAATATTTTATAATTACAGCCTTTAACATGCTTCACATTTCGTACTCGGTAACAAGCCAAATCTCTCCCTCCCAAGAATAGAAACAGCATGTTATGATCAAAAGAATTAGCGACAAGTTCCTGTGAATTATTTCTGGGGATGTAATTCCCCAAATTGCCAATAAGCAATTGTCACTTTTCAAAAATCAAGCTGCTTTTTTTTTTTTTCTTTTTTTCCACTTTTCATCTCCTGGCTTGACTTGCTAAGACAGAGTAAACCTCCTTCCCCCTCGCGGAGCACCAGGAGAGCATTTCCTTTTGCTGACAGCCTTTGCCTCTAATTCCCCGTGATCTGGCGTGAGGGGTATGAACGCCGATGAGGCTTTTGATCCAGCTGCCTGCCGTTCTGGTGCTCCTGCAGAGCCCCGCAGGGCTCCGGGGTGGCAGGATCAAGGTTTAAGATGGTCCTGAACAGCCTGTGCCGGTGCTGTGACCTTGCTGTGTGGGTTGCCATCACACAGGCAAGAAAAAACACAAAGTCCTGGTAATCTCAGGTGGTGGAGGAGAGAGCAAACCACCTCTGCTGCCATTTCCAGCTGCCTTTGCAAACCGTTCATTGCAAAAGAACTGCTCCTTTCATTTCCTTGGCAGGGGACCTTCCCCACCTATGATAAAGATAACTATTTATGGAAAATCCCTGGGCCAAGGAGTTGCTCCAGTAGGAGCATAAAGATCCCTCTGTTCATGACCCTCTGGGCTGTGCCTTGGTCGGTCACTGGTGCAGGACATAAATCCTCGCCTGAGCGAATCAAAGCATCCAGGCTGGAGAGATTTGCCCACAGTTGCCGACACAGTAAATACAGAAACATGCTGTAAATTCCACAACTTTGCTTGCTGCTTTCTGACTCCTAATTACCAGGCGCGCAGCGGGGATGGTGTTATTTCTAGCCCGGCTCTGTCAATAACCACCCCTCTCCCATATAGATTTTCTTCTTCCAGGGAATCAACATGCCCCTTCCCCTCTCCTCAGCCACACCACCCAACTCTCTGACAATATTTAGTGCACGTACCCTAAAGCCAGGAGGGGAGGGTACCATCCAGACATCTGGAACTGGGACACAAAGGGATTTTCTGCAGGATGAGATGGGAAACCAAGCTCCAGTCAAGCTCCTGCTGTTCACCGATGGTTGCCTCTTTTGGGTGGCTAACAATAAAACATAAATATCCTCTTTTCTGAGGTCCACACAAGCTCCTGAATTAAGTTACAGCTGGCAGAGCTAGAAGGAGTGATTAAAAGACTTTTGAAATATTTTCTCTCTATCACTTTTAATGCTGTTCTTAAAAGTTGTTCTCCATTAGGAGAGGAAAAAATGAGTGCCTTTGAAATCTTTTATAAAAATTGGGTTTAATCCAGATTGTGCAATTGGATTAGGTGGAAGTCAGTTGGGGGCTTTGTTCATTTGCTTCTCCTGTCAAAGTGTAGTCATATGAAAAAAATAATTGTAGACAGTTTGTTCATTCTTCACTTGCTGGTAGTCCCCAGCTCCTGGTAGTACCAGAGTTTCCCACTGTGTCCTGGATACCTGGAGCTTATCACTGTATCCCTCTGCTTCATCAGGAAGATGTTTGGAAGCTTTGATAAGCATCCAGCTCCTTCTCTGCCCCATTTGCAGACAAGCCCAAGTGCAAATAATTTCTAAGTATATCTGGAAGAAGCTGTGGGTGTTGGGCACTCTTCAGAAGAACTGGTTCTCTCTGGGAGGCTGAGGGTGTGGGCTTCACCAAATGTGCTGTTGTAGATGTGGAAAAGGCTCTCCAAGTTCATCCTGCTTTAGGGGGTGGCAGGATCTAGAGCATCAGCTTCATAAGAGTGAGCGTGGTACATCTTGGAGTGGGCGTGAAGGGAGACTTGAGCGCTATGACAGTTGGGAACACCATTGTTGCAAAAAGTCAACAGAAGAAGGTTCAGCACTAACACTGGTGTCTTGTCTCTCGTTTAGGGGGAGCCAGGCCCTCCTGGTTTGCCAGGCCCACCAGTAAGTATTTTCCGGTTGACGTTGACTTGCTCATCCTTTTGAGTGGGACGCAGTACACAAGAGCTGAGCCTTGGTGGCTTGGCTTTCCTCTTGATCTGAATTTCCATAGGGGAAGGAGTGGAGATGCTTCAGCACAGGTCCTGGGGACAAACACCTTCTCCTGCTTCATTGCTAGGGGAGGATATGCCTGGAATAAAGCTTGGCCATCACCAGTTTAAGAAAAATTGGCACCAAGCCACATAACGGTGGTTATTTTTGGCATCAGTCTGAGTCTGCTTCAGCTCCTCGGTCTGCGAAGGGGCTGAAAGCTGCACGAGGTGGCACAGTTCTTTGCTTTGGGGTACTCACCTCATCCCTTTCTACGCCTCTGCTAGGAACAGCTTATGGGTACTGTCTGTGGGACTGAGCCACTGAAAGGAATTGAGGATTTGGATACGGGTTCATGGCAAGTTTCATCTCTCTGTAGGAATTCTGTGTTTCTTGGTGTCAGATTAACACATCAACAAGGGAACTTCTATCTTGTAGCCCGTATCGACACATGCCACATTTCTCTTGTTATTCTGTTAAAAAATAATTGCCTGTTTACCTGATTTAGGGGCCAAAAGGTGCACCAGGGAAGCCTGGAGCAGCTGGTGAAGCCGGATTGCCTGGCCTTCCTGGAGTGGATGTGAGTATTTTGTTATCTTCTCTTAGATCTTTTAAAGAGTTCATGTAGGTGGGAGTGTTTTCCCAAAGTGTCTCAATTTTCTCTGTGTCTACTGAGACAAGCAAAGAGGGTCCTGGATCTACA